CCCTATGCGACCTCCCCCTCTACACGACCCCTCCCTCTACGTGGCCTTCCCCCTATGCGACCTCCCCCTCTACACGACCCCTCCCTCTACGTGGCCTTCCCCCTATACGACCTCCCCGTCTACATGACCTCTCCCTCTACATGGCCTTCCCCCTATGCGACCTCCCCCTCTACACGACCCCTCCCTCTACGTGGCCTTCCCCCTATGCGACCTCCCCCTACACGACTTCTCTACGTGGCGTCAGCGCGTGCTGCGGACACGCACCCCTTTCGGCCGCGCCTCGATGAGGTTGTAGATATGTTCGGCGGACGCCGCCACCTGCTGCGCGAAGCTCTCCAAACCGGTGTCGCCCTCTTCTGGCTCTCGACTCGGCGAGACCATCTTGTAGAGACCATCCAGCTGGTTAAGATTCTCTTCGCTCAGCACCTGTGCAGTCAGAGAACGACGACGAAGCGAGTCAGTGACGTGGATTAACCGCTAGTGACGTCCCGATGATCGATTATAATCAAGAGTCAGTAGTTTGCAGCAGCTGACTAAGCGCTCGATTATCAAAATACATAATCGATTATCAAAAAAGTTTAATTAAATTTTTATTTTTATTTAAAATACAATTCTCAAACATTGATGAAATGACTCATTATATTTTTGTGTTTTTTTGTTACTTTACAGCTTGAAGGCAGTAAATCTAACAACGTAAGTGAGTTTAGATTCTCTACGCGTAGCACCTGCGCAGTCGGAACAACGACGGAGCAAGTCAGCAAAGCAGCAACAGCGATGTCCGGGCGAAACTGAGCTGCGGGTAGGAGGGCGAAATGAAACATGCTATAAAGGAACCAGCAGCGTTCTGCTAGGTAGTCTGGTAGACATAATGCTACCGGTACTCACGGTCACAGAAACTTTCAGTGCATTTTCAAAGATCTACGGAGGGCTAAGGAGGGCTACCTATACAGATTGGACCAAGGAGCGTGATTTTGAGGGCGCGTGACGGAGTATGAAGGGCGACGGACGACGGCCGGGTGGCGGCCGCACAGGCGGGCGACGGACGGAGACGACTCACGCAGGCGCGGTTTCGGCCGTGTAGGAAGGCTAAGGAGGGCTACCTATAACAATGGGGCGAAGGTGCGTAACTCTGAGACAGAGAGCGTGAGGAGCAGGGCGGGGACGGCGGGGGAGACAACTCGACTCACGCAGGCGCGGTTTCTGCCGTGTAGGAAGTCCTGGCGCACGTCGTCGCCGCCCATGTTTGCGAGCAGGTCCTGCACCTGCAGCAGCTCGCGGTACAGGGCGACCTCGTGCTGCTTGCGCTCCGTCATCTCACGCTTCCACTGCTTCTTCAGCACCTTCAGCGTCTGCAACGTGAACACATTAGTCATCATCGTCATCATCATCATCATCATCATCATCATCATCATCATCATCATCATCATCATCATCATCATCATCATCATCATCATCATCATCATATCCGTTTAAAGTCCACGGTCCATATGCTAGCAGTTGAAAAAAGTTCAATCCTTCCCGCGCCTATGTAGAACATAGGTACATAGGGCAGTGCCTATCTCCGTTTCCGTAACCCTGAGGCCCCGCAGCTGCTTTCACAGTAAACGCTACAGCAGGGGGTTAGTCCACCGGTAGCACTGCGAGTTAGCTTGCCACACTCTATCTCTATTTGCTGAATGCTAAGCAGAGACGGTGAACACATGAAACCCTTCATATATTGGTTGTTTCCCCTGCAGCTAGCCATGGTAGACCCGCCGCGCGCCGGGTCTCTGGATGACAACGAGCAGTTGGAAAGTTCGCTCAACTCACTCCTCAACTGTGGCGGGATGGATATGGGGGCGATTTCGCTCGTCGATGGTAAGAAACACTGTCATGTGGCGCCACCGACAAAGTGCAGGCTTTGTACGGCTATCGAATACGGCACGTGTGGATTTCTCACTTGGTATTTTACAGTGCATATAATAACGATGATTACTTATTGAAGTGTAATCTTCGTGCTAGTCAGATGCAATTTACTATGATTCGAACGCGAGAGCAAGACGTTAATATGAGAGAAATCACTCTCGCGTGCTCCCTCTCCTCTTTCTTGCACGTGTCATCTCACCCCCCTCCCTCTTTACGCCCGCTGCACGCTCTCTCCCTTTCCACGTCATGCATAACTTTACCTCGGCGTTGATCGCCGCAAACTGCTTCTGCATGTCACGCACGATTTCCAGCGAATGGACGACCTCATTGTACTTTTGGATCGCACTCTGAAAACAGACAACCACGAATGAGAATGTTTGCACAACAAGAGAAGCAAAACAGTTCCCCCCCCCCAGCTACTAGGAGCAAACACGGGTGTCGATATCACTATCCGAGCCTCGTTCGTCGATTCTGTGAGGAAAATCGAATGCAAACAAAAATAACGCAGGATGCGAATTTATCGAACACAAACTTCTCAGGATATATATACATTATATTTCGTCAGACCGGAAGACAGAAGACAGAACACAGAAGATTCTACAAACAAAATTTACTGTGTAATATTAATCATGTTAACGGCCAGCCAGGATCCGACGCAACACGCCGCCGTAACACTTTTTTTTCGACCACTAAACTCTCAGTTCGATTCAAGCGAAATTTGCGAGCCACTATTCAGAGTTGCCGCAAAAGTTTTTCTTGGCCTAGAACTTGGGGGATCGGCTCCCGCTGCTCTTAGAAAACACACTTCTCGCAGATCAATAACGGCCAGCAAGTGCACAGCCTACTAACACCATCACTGTCTACACAGCAGCGCAGACTGGGTAGACCGTACAGCACAAATAGACACGTGTACATGCCGTCAAATGTTACTCATCCACACACAAGCCGCCTCACCTATGAGTATGTCAACTAAGATTTCCATAAATGCGCGTATGCACCCTCGTCTGTTAAATATAGTCAGCATAAACGACAGACTCTCAATGTACGGGTACTATGCGAGCAGCTAGAAGTTGAGCAGATTGCAGTTTACACTGCCTTGCGTATTACTAACTTATCATAGTCAGTTCACGCACGCACGTACCTTTTGGTCATCATTCAACTCTTTACCAGACTTGTACAAGTCTCGGTACTGGTCAAGTTTTCCCTGAAAGCAGAAAGAAGTGAGATTACTATCACTCTGTTGTTCGTTTTAATGCCAAACTACTTTGTAACAAGCTCCTGAAACTTTGCATCTGTCCACGGAATATGTGGAACTAAAACTAATACAATAATCACCTGAAAATTATATGCTATTAGCACGACATTTTCATGATGGCATTTAATTATAGAAATATAACACTAAGCATTAGATTAGGTGGAAGTGACACACAATGCACGAGTGTCAACATGGTCACTCAATACCTTTAGCACAACAAACGAGCCCTAATGGCCACATGTGTTCAGTCCTAGATTCAGTGCTAAAAATAGCAGTGTCCATATTCTTTTACATACATGTGCACTCATGTATATGCACGCACGCACACGCACATGCACACGCACACACACACGCACACGCACACAATATAGATATACAAATTATACGTATGGATGCATGAGCTCAAACTCAGCTATATACACAAAACAGCCTAACGATCAGCATCACTTACTAATAATATTGATGCTGATACTTTGCACATGGCGTGCTGGTAGTGACTGTCAGTTTTTGTGAGCAATATATTCTCCCCTTTACGCCACGCGTTACCAACACTTTGAAAGCTTACTGGCACAGATTTTCCATCAATATTTTTGGAAGTTTGTGACATCTACCAATCAAAAACACAGTTTCTATGAGGTTCAATTTTATAGGTTAGACATTTACTTCCAGACATATAGGATAGTTCTTGTCATGTTTATCCACCTTTATAATGTGCAGTGTTATCACACTGTGTCAAACATTATCCAGATGCTGTTATAATTAATACTTATATTATACATACAGCAATAACCAAGAAAAAGTTTACTATTCAGGTTTCACCTATTATATAATATTCCTCATCTTGTATTTTTGTCATCATGTTGTTATTTCATAACCTACTGGAGTGGCTGACTGGAAGACTGAATTGTCATTTTACCCTCTACTCCATCAATTGTATTTATTTAGTTTCATTTGTTGGAATTTTATCAGCATTGTTTATTAATTTGTTTAACTAGTATGTTACCTCCAAAATGTAATTCATAAGTGTAAATAAAGTAAATTGAATTAAATTGAACTAAATTAACTATCTTTCAAACATTAATCTTTCTGTTACTCATTTCTAAGCAACAGACTGTTATTTTCTGACAATCTGTCATCAGATTTATTACAATGATAGGCACCGTAAAATAAACTAAACTTCACCAGATTTTATTGCCGTATTGGTGAGAAAACTTGCATTGCGTGTATATGATTATTTCTCTATTATTTATAAACTTTGGTTAAAAGAGCCAGCCTTTCATTGAAGTGAATTTAAAAAAAGTTATAAATCATTACAAAGACTGGCATACACTATTACATATTCAAGAGCATAAAAACTATGTTAAACGAAACTCTTGTTAAACAATTTACTCTACAAATTGTCTCTGTTTACACCCTCTGGGTCAGACTAGTAACTTAGGTTTTTGCCTATACTGTGAAGTGTAGAAAAATTTTCCCCCAATGCAAAAAGTGACCCAGACTGTCTAGGAGTATGCGATTCACTGCTGGACAGTACATTCTTTGAAACCTGGAGAAAGTGAATGCCCGAGTAAGATAAAAATTAGAGATCGGCAGGCCGTGCCCCACTAGGAGAGCTGTCTCAAGGCTAATCATTGTCTCCAATGTATCTGACTAGTGACTCAGATAATGCAAAGAGACAGTTCCAGTCGAATTTGAAAATGATTTTGTTGCTGTACCTTGGACTATAAAACATATTTTTCATGAGGAAACACACTTGCCAGAGATAAAAACCTCAATCTTGTCCTGATAGTGATAAAGGCTTTGTAGATTACAACAGCTACCGGTACTCATTTTTCATTATTATTATTCTAAAGCATTTCTCCCCAGTAAGGTGGTGCACCCGCTAGCATTAATTGGCAGAAATGTGTATATGGGATGCAAATACATAAATTATGTGAGCAACATAAACTTAGAATATCATGTTACGATATATACAAAGATGATGGCAGGAATGAATCATCAAATAGTTGATCGGCTTCAAACATAACGGCCTTTTTTGATCAACACTGTACTGTATGTATTGTTATATTTCAACATTTATTAAGAAACTGTTATAGGATATTAGATACCATAAACTTAGGCAACTGCCGGGATCGTTATGTAGATACATTTGGCTCAGCAAGTCAGCATCGACGCAGGATATTATAGGGATTGCCCCGAGTGACTAGGCAACCCAGAAAACGCAATTACTATTTCAATTGAATTAATCTAATAAATTAACGCGTTGTGGACAACTGTGATTACCTTTCTCTTCTCGAGATTTCTAGCTTTCTTCTCCACCACAGAAAGTGCCTGAGAGAAAGACTCAGGCACCCCTGGAGGCGCTTGTTTCTCAGATTTTTGCGAAGCAGAAGGCATCCTTCGGGCAGCAACAACACGGGACTGAAAGACCATCTCACGTGGTCTGATCTTACCCTGTTCTAAACATTTTTAGAATATTACTATTGCGTATAACTGGTAAATATTTGTAATTTTAAGAGCTTATGTATAAAAATAATTTATTAGAATAACAGAAGTGTAGTTAACATGTACGGTTACAGCATTACACACGACAGATGATAAACCTATAAAATTATTCACTTCCCAGCGCGCCTAAGTCAAGATGTCCGCGCCCAAGAGAAGTGTGGCCCATCTAACGTCGTGCAGAAATTGCGTAGCCGCACATACAATTTAGTCGAACGGACTCTAGTTAAATTTAAACTTAATTTCTTACGTTTTGCGTGCAAATTTGTGCATTGAGTCACAGGTAAGATTACAGTGGCGATAATATTGTGTATCTTGTTTCATATTGATAAATCATTTAATCAATCATGATGACGAATTGTGAGTTTTTGCCAGTTTGTGATTGTGATTGTGTCGATGACGCCTTCACTAGTAGATGTTGTTTTTGTGTATAGTATAAGTTATTCATTGTGTTTGTTTTTGTGCGTTTTCATTGCAATTTATATATCACTGCAGAATGAGAACTACAGTGAACTGTTCCCTGTAACTAACGCGGTACTAATTGCAAGTATTTGCTCACAACAATAGTTTCTGGACCACGTCAAACTGGGAGTTGGACAGAATACTCATCTGTCTTGTATTTAGTGAAAGATGGCCCATTCATTCAAGACCACTGATATCAGCAGTGCTGCGCAAACGTCACAAAACATCACCAGAGACACAGTGTATTGGAAGCGGCTGGATCCACCACTCCACGTCAAGGAATATGCAGCAGTTACAAGCGTTGATTTCTCTCCCGTGGAACCATACATGTTCGCAGTCACGAGTTCGTTGAAAATTTCGCTGTACAGCTCGGTGAGTAACCAAGTGAAGCACACGATCTCCCGATTCAGAGAGACAGCGTACAGCGGCTCTTTCCGCAACGACGGAAAGCTGCTGGTTGCCGGAGGCGAGGAGAAAATCATCAAACTTTTTGACGTCGCTAATACAAAGTCTCTTCTGCGAGTCTTCAAGGGACACACGGGGCCAATACACAGAGTGTCCTTCGTTCCGAATACGACGCAAATCGCATCCTTCTCCGACGATCGAACCGTGAGGTGTTACGACATTCCCGCGGAGAGGGAAGTGTCGCGATTTTGCGGCCACGCGGATTACGTTCGAGCCGGCGCGGTGAATCATGCTAGTCCGAACATACTAGTTTCCGGTGGCTACGACCACGTGGTGAAAATGTGGGATGTCAGACAGAAAGACTGCGTGATGTCGGTGGACCATGGGCACCCTGTTGAGAGTGTTCTCTTCTTTCCGTCTGGTGGTATATTCTGCTCGGCAGGTAATTCTTTCGACAAGTCATTTGCAGCACCCGCACACCTGCTAAAGCATTATCCTATCGTGAATATCACCTTGATCGATTAACCTTGAGATAGTCGAAACCTCAAATACACGCAGACACCGTCGTAAATGACATTTGATATATGCATATATATACAATTTCTTTCCAACAGGTGGCAGTGTCGTCAACGTCTGGGATGCGTTTGGGAAGAAGCAGCTGTGTAGACTGATGGACCACCACAAGACAGTGACTTGCATGTGCCTGAGCAGTGACAATCATCGTCTTCTCACTGGATCTCTGGACAGGTTCGTAGTTGCCGTGCAAACCGAAAATCGTAAATTTTTAAACAGGATTGATTTTACGTGGTTAGGTGCAGTTATCATAGTTAAAACATGCACTGCTCGAGGCTTTTGTTATTTCAAAGTATTCATCCACAAATCTAAGTTAATGTAGATTATAATCAAGGAATTTCAAAGTTCTGCAAATCTGAAGTCTAGTACTAGGTGTGTTTGTGAGTGTATGTTTCGTAACAGCATTTGTTTTGCAGGCATGTGAAGGTGTATGATGTCAGCAGCTACAAAGTAGTTCACAGCCTAAACTATTCTTCAGCCATTCTCAGCGTTGGTGAGTCCTAAACTGAACCATCCTTACATTTATACGTGATTTTTTATTCACTCATTCATTTGTGAGTGATAATGACAAGATTACGAATACATGTAAGTTTTTTTTATCCGAAATAAATATTAGCGTAACACCATTAAGAACGCTATGCCTGTAAAGTAATAGATGCACGTTTAGGCATGAAATATAGCGTGATAGCGAAATTGTACTCGATTCACCGACTTATTGTGAATATAATAACACATAATAATACAAATATATCTAATTCGTGACATAGGGGTTGCACAAGATGACAAAACTGTCGTTGTTGGAATGGCGGACGGTTTACTGTCAATCCAACATAGGCGGCCGGAAATTACAAAAGAAGAGCGAGAAGAGACAAGGCTCAAGAAGAAGTCTTCATATAAATATATTCTCCAAGTATGCATCGTCTCAACGTGGCGAAATATTTTCAGGATTAGTTTGAAACGACTAGTTGCATATAGTATTAATTTTACAAAATTTGTTCATTTCTGTGTACCTAAATCAACTACTTACATGGTGCTATAATTAGCACTGCTTAATTTCTTAGTTAATCTTGGTCTTGTATACAGATTGTTTTCTTTGCATGAGTTAACTTACGCATGCCTATTGTTTAGGCTAGGACACATCTACCATCAAAAGGTGACTTTATCGTGGAGAGTGAAGCAAAGAAAGTCATCTCTAAATATGACAAGCACCTTCAGAAGTTCAGGGTAAGGAAATCAAATTGAGCCATGGCATAATGTTGCCCAATCTACCTTAATAACAATAATCGTCTGTTAATTGGATCACTGCCTCCTAACTTATCATAATTGTCCCACGTGATTGCTTATAGAGAGAATCTTTCCGAACAGTGTCTTTATTGTGTCGGTTACGTGTCTTTAACACAGCACTCACGTGTCTCTAACACAGCACTCGCGTGTCTTTAACACAGCACTCACGTGTCTTTCACACATCAATCACGTGTCTTCAACGAGTCGACCACGTGTCTTTAACACAGCACTCACGTGTCTTTAACACAGCACTCACGTGTCTTTAACACAGCACTCGCGTGTCTTTAACACAGCACTCACGTGTCTTCAACACAGCTCTCACGTGTCTTTAACACAGCTCCCACGTGTCTTTAACACAGCACTCACGTGTCTTTCACACATCAATCACGTGTCTCTAACACAGCTCCCACGTGTCTCTAACACAGCACTCGCGTGTCTTTAACACAGCTCCCACGTGTCTTTAACACAGCTCCCACGTGTCTTTAACACAGCTCCCACGTGTCTCTAACACAGCACTCGCGTGTCTTTAACACAGCTCCCACGTGTCTTTAACACAGCTCTCACGTGTCTCTAACACAGCACTCACGTGTCTTTAACACAGCACTCACGTGTCTTTAACACAGCTCTCACGTGTCTTTAACACAGCACTCACGTGTCTTTAACACAGCACTCGCGTGTCTTTAACACAGCACTCGCGTGTCTTTAACACATCAATCACGTGTCTTTAACACATCAATCACGTGTCTTTAACACAGCTCCCACGTGTCTCTAACACAGCTCCCACGTGTCTCTAACACAGCACTCGCGTGTCTTTAACACAGCTCTCACGTGTCTCTAACGTCGGCCACGTGTCTTCAATGAGTTGACCATGTGTCTTTAACACGTCGGCCACGTGTCTTCAATGGGTCGACCTCGTGTCTTTAACACATCAATCGCGCGTCTCTAACACAACACGTGTCTTTACCGCAGGCGAGCAAGGCGCTGGACGCAGTGCTGCTCACGCACCACCGCCTCGCGCGTCCGCACGTTGCCGTCGCCGTCATGCAGGAGCTGATCCGCCGGGGGGCGCTGCACGCCGCCGTCGCAGGCCGCGGCGTCGACGAGCTGCGTCCGCTCGCTCGCTTCCTCGCGCGACACGTCGGCGACCCCGCGTTCGCTCCGACCCTCGTCGACGTCGCCGGGGTCACGCTCGACGCGTACGCCGCGCGCGTCGTCGCCGGTGACAATGAGATGGCGCGTCTGCTGCGGCCGCTGCGGCGGGCGGTCGCTCGCGAGGTCGCCGTCATGGCGGCGATCCCGGCCGTGCTCGGATCCATGGACGCCATCTTCGCGGCGGCGTCGACGAAGTCGTACGCGAGTGTAGAGGGCGCCGGGGTTGACCCGGGAGGCTCGGCGGGGGGCGCGGAGGTAGGCGGCGCCACGGGAGGCAGCGCGGCGACACGGTCGTGAAGTATCTGCGTGTGTGGCAACGCTAACGACCGAATCGTTTATTAATCATGTTGTTTTGTTTAATCAGGTGGTTTTGTAATCATGTTGGATTAAAACGCATAGCAGTATTTTAACAAGAGAATTTTTTTTCGCTATCATTCGATTTTTTGTCAGCAAACAGCATAATTAATATCGACAGTACAATTCATTTACCCTCGGTCTACATGAGAAACACATTACATCCCATGCATGCAGCATGCGAATACTATTTGTCAAGGACTGTAATTTAAACTTACAGAAATAATTATTTTACATAAACTTCCAAATATATGCAGAACATCGAGACTAGCTTGACTTTGCAACTCAACATTCTTACAAGGCTAACACGCCGCATTAAAATTTACATCCCTCTAAGTTACAACTATTCTGTATATTGCCGAATTTATTTACTATCACTTGACTGTCAACACACAGTCACACACACCAGTGAAATATGTTCCAGCTACAGAACTATATCTGGGATGGAATCCCACTTATTACGCTAAATTATTCTTTCCCGTATTGCTGTACACCACATGAATCGGTGGTATACTATTAACGAAGCCATCTCATGTCATTTATTATTAATAATTTACATTCTCTGGCATGCTTTTCCTATATTAGTTCCAACAACTCTCACAGAAAGCAGTAACTACTCCACAGTCTCAATTCTATAGACAAATCACATTACCTTGCAAATAACTGTATGGTGATTGACCGTACACACCTGATATATATATATATATGCATATATATCGGGGTTAATAAAGACAAATTTGGTCAATTCGTCATTATTAACCCCTGATTATGATATATATATTATCACATAACTTTAAGCAAATAAACATAATTACATCCACAGCTTGCCATACGTTATATTGAGATAGGCATATTGGCTATATATGCCCCGCATCGATTCCTCTTGAGTTTTCGCTATAACGTCACACTAGCAGTCTAGCACTGTTCCCTTTACCATCTTCATAGGAAAATTGTCATTGACACAGATACGTGTCACGATACCACTACACTAGTTGCATGTTACATACTAATTGCATGATCACCAGCAATGATAAACAAGTAAATGCAGAGCCAAAGGAGGAATACCTGTAGAAAGGTTGTCCGATGCTTTGTTTAAACAGTTTCATAGATAACATGCAATCAATACTTAGAATTGTTTCAAATTTTTGGAAGGTTTGGATAGTCGAAGAAAGCAAGAATAAAGCATAGCTAAGTATAGCATAACTGTCTGGTTTGAACTATAAACTTGTAACTCATAAAGACATGATTGCTGACAACATTGTCCTGAAATACCATATATATATCCACACGAAGACAATGCTAGAAGAAGACAATGTCATCACATAACACAGCTGCGTGACGCTACACTAGAAGTCAATACTGTCCTGACACGTGACAATTCCACACGAAAGCACGCGATTAGCAGACGAAACTCGTCACATTGTGACGATTCTATGCACAGACACGTTGGCAGACGAAACTACCGTCTCGCACAATCTAACGCAGGAGAATGTGTAAATAGCAGACGTACTTGGTCACGTGCGACGATTCTACACAAATACACGTCGGCAGACGTAACTACGAACACGACAGTTCCATTTGAAGACGCGTCAGCAGACGAAATCCTCGCAGCATGCAAAAGTCCCGGTCGACAACCGCCTCCTCATTCCGCTCTTTCGCCGCTAGATGTTGTATTTGTACTCGATCCCGCTGCTCCCTCCCCTCGCCGCTAGATGTTGTATTTGTACTCAATTCCGCTGCTCCCTCCCCTCGCGGCTAGATGTTGTACTTGTACTCGATTCCGCTGCTCCCTCCCCTCGCGGCTAGATGTTGTACTTGTACTCGATTCCGCTGCTCCCTCCCCTCGCGGCTAGATGTTGTAC